ATACACATACCCTTTACCTATATTAGTAGCCTCGTGTCCTCTCTATAAACTTCTTCTAACTTCAAGAACAAATGAGTGGTGTGCCCTATTACAAACTATTTTTCAAAAGTAAAAATTTAAAAAGTGTATATTATCAATAAATAAAAAATAAATATATTTATGGAGTAATGTAGGAATTATGCTGAGGTGAACATTCTTTCTATAACGAAATATTGAGTGAAATTTTAAAAATATTAGCCATTTTTGAAATTCATCTTTTAGGGTGGCATATGCTTGCGCAAATATAATACAAGAACGAAAATATTTTCAATTTGAACGTTTAATATAATATATTTATAAATATTTGTGAAGTGGAAACTATTTTATTCAATAATATTAATAATTTGATATTTCATATAATATATAAAATATTAGTTTTACAATTAATAGATAATATGTAAACAGAATCCTCTGAGAAAGGAGGGACGGAATGAGAAAAGAATTTTAATAGAGTGATTTTTACATCACTCCATCAGCAACTACAATGTCAAAATAAATTGATCTTTGGTAGGATAATAAAGTATTAGGTTACGTGGGACCATTATCTCAAATTTATTTAAAGAATGTTGATTTAACAAAAAAGTTATGTTAAAAGACCCCTCAACTAATCTAAAAATGAGTGTATGTATTTTTATATTTCTTGATTTATAAAATTGTGTAAATGGCCAAAATATCATATGTGATTTTTAATATTACTAGAAATATTCGTCTTTTCAATTCAATATTTCTTTTTGATTTTAAAAAGTATTTTCATTAATTTTTGAACACCAGTGTGATTTGATCATGGTTTTAAAGACTTATGATGTAACATTTAAAATACAATATAACGCGGCTGATGATTGTAAAACGAAACTTAAAATTATACCGCGAATGTTTCTTTTAAAAATCGAAATTTATTTTCAAAGAGAAATAGCGACATTTCTAACTTTGAGGATGAGGTATGGAAAGGTGAAACATGAAGAGTAATGGAGAACGGAAAAATAAAAAGTGTCCAGGGGCGGGAATCGAACCCACACCCTTCTGCTTACCGGGCAGGTGCCTTGTCCACTCGGCTACCCTGGACGTATTTTTCCGTTCATAACTTATATTTAAAGTAACATTTAAAATACAATATAACGCGGCTGATGATTGTAAAACGAAAATTAAAATTATACCGCGAATGTTTCTTTTAAAAATCGAAATTTATTTTCAAAGAGAAATAGCGACATTTCTAACTTTGAGGATGAGGTATGGAAAGGTGAAACATGAAGAGTAATGGAGAACGGAAAAATAAAAAGTGTCCAGGGGCGAGAATCGAACCCACACCCTTCTGCTTACCGGGCAGGTGCCTTGTCCACTCGGCTACCCTGGACGTATTTTTCCGTTCATAACTTATATTTGAAGTAACATTTAAAATACAATATAACGCGGCTGATGATTGTAAAACGAAAATTAAAATTATACCGCGAATGTTTCTTTTAAAAATCGAAATTTATTTTCATGGATGATTTCCGTTCTCCATTACTCTTCATGTTTCACCTTTCCATACCTCATCCTCAAAGTTAGAAATGTCGCTATTTCTCTTTGAAAATAAATTTCGATTTTTAAAAGAAACATTCGCGGTATAATTTTAATTTTCGTTTTACAATCATCAGCCGCGTTATATTGTATTTTAAATGTTACTTTAAATATAAGTTATAATGGAAAAATACGTCCAGGGTAGCCGAGTGGACAAGGCACCTGCCCGGTAAGCAGAAGGGTGTGGGTTCGATTCCCGCCCCTGGACACTTTTTATTTTTCCGTTCACCATTACTCTTCATGTTTCACCTTTCCATACCTCATCCTCAAAGTTAGAAATGTCGCTATTTCTCTTTGAAAATAAATTTCGATTTTTAAAAGAAACATTCGCGGTATAATTTTAATTTTCGTTTTACAATCATCAGCCGCGTTATATTGTATTTTAAATGTTACTTTAAATATAAGTTATGAACGGAAAAATACGTCCAGGGTAGCCGAGTGGACAAGGCACCTGCCCGGTAAGCAGAAGGGTGTGGGTTCGATTCCCGCCCCTGGACACTTTTTATTTTTCCGTTCTCCATTACTCTTCATGTTTCACCTTTCCATACCTCATCCTCAAAGTTAGAAATGTCGCTATTTCTCTTTGAAAATAAATTTCGATTTTTAAAAGAAACATTCGCGGTATAATTTTAATTTTCGTTTTACAATCATCAGCCGCGTTATATTGTATTTTAAATGTTACTTTAAATATAAGTTATGAACGGAAAAATACGTCCAGGGTAGCCGAGTGGACAAGGCACCTGCCCGGTAAGCAGAAGGGTGTGGGTTCGATTCCCGCCCCTGGACACTTTTTATTTTTCCGTTCTCCATTACTCTTCATGTTTCACCTTTCCATACCTCATCCTCAAAGTTAGAAATGTCGCTATTTCTCTTTGAAAATAAATTTCGATTTTTAAAAGAAACATTCGCGGTATAATTTTAATTTTCGTTTTACAATCATCAGCCGCGTTATATTGTATTTTAAATGTTACTTTAAATATAAGTTATAATGGAAAAATACGTCCAGGGTAGCCGAGTGGACAAGGCACCTGCCCGGTAAGCAGAAGGGTGTGGGTTCGATTCCCGCCCCTGGACACTTTTTATTTTTCCGTTCTCCATTACTCTTCATGTTTCACCTTTCCATACCTCATCCTCAAAGTTAGAAATGTCGCTATTTCTCTTTGAAAATAAATTACGATTTTTATAAAAGAAACATTCGCGGTATAATTTTAATTTTCGTTTTACAATCATCAGCCGCGTTATATTGTATTTTAAATGTTACTTTAAATATAAGTTATGAACGGAAAAATACGTCCAGGGTAGCCGAGTGGACAAGGCACCTGCCCGGTAAGCAGAAGGGTGTGGGTTCGATTCCCGCCCCTGGACACTTTTTATTTTTCCGTTCTCCATTACTCTTCATGTTTCACCTTTCCATACCTCATCCTCAAAGTTAGAAATGCCGTTATTTCTCTTTGAAAATAAATTTCGATTTTTAAAAGAAACATTCGCGGTATAATTTTAATTTTCGTTTTACAATCATCAGCCGCGTTATATTGTATTTTAAATGTTACTTTAAATATAAGTTATGAACGGAAAAATACGTCCAGGGTAGCCGAGTGGACAAGGCACCTGCCCGGTAAGCAGAAGGGTGTGGGTTCGATTCCCGCCCCTGGACACTTTTTATTTTTCCGTTCTCCATTACTCTTCATGTTTCACCTTTCCATACCTCATCCTCAAAGTTAGAAATGTCGCTATTTCTCTTTGAAAATAAATTTCGATTTTTAAAAGAAACATTCTCGGTATAATTTTAATTTTCGTTTTACAATCATCAGCCGCGTTATATTGTATTTTAAATGTTACTTTAAATATAAGTTATGAACGGAAAAATACGTCCAGGGTAGCCGAGTGGACAAGGCACCTGCCCGGTAAGCAGAAGGGTGTGGGTTCGATTCCCGCCCCTGGACACTTTTTATTTTTCCGTTCTCCAATACTCTTCATGTTTCACCTTTCCATACCTCATCCTCAAAGTTAGAAATGTCGCTATTTCTCTTTGAAAATAAATTTCGATTTTTAAAAGAAACATTCACGGTATAATTTTAATTTTCGTTTTACAATCATCAGCCGCGTTATATTGTATTTTAAATGTTACTTTAAATATAAGTTATGAACGGAAAAATACGTCCAGGGTAGCCGAGTGGACAAGGCACCTGCCCGGTAAGCAGAAGGGTGTGGGTTCGATTCCCGCCCCTGGACACTTTTTATTTTTCCGTTCTCCATTACTCTTCATGTTTCACCTTTCCATACCTCATCCTCAAAGTTAGAAATGTCGCTATTTCTCTTTGAAAATAAATTTCGATTTTTAAAAGAAACATTCGCGGTATAATTTTAATTTTCGTTTTACAATCATCAGCCGCGTTATATTGTATTTTAAATGTTACTTTAAATATAAGTTATGAACGGAAAAATACGTCCAGGGTAGCCGAGTGGACAAGGCACCTGCCCGGTAAGCAGAAGGGTGTGGGTTCGATTCCCGCCCCTGGACACTTTTTATTTTTCCGTTCTCCAATACTCTTCCTGTTTCACCTTTCCATACCTCATCCTCAAAGTTAGAAATGTCGCTATTTCTCTTTGAAAATAAATTTCGATTTTTAAAAGAAACATTCGCGGTATAATTTTAATTTTCGTTTTACAATCATCAGCCGCGTTATATTGTATTTTAAATGTTACTTTAAATATAAGTTATGAACGGAAAAATACGTCCAGGGTAGCCGAGTGGACAAGGCACCTGCCCGGTAAGCAGAAGGGTGTGGGTTCGATTCCCGCCCCTGGACACTTTTTATTTTTCCGTTCTCCATTACTCTTCATGTTTCACCTTTCCATACCTCATCCTCAAAGTTAGAAATGTCGCTATTTCTCTTTGAAAATAAATTTCGATTTTTAAAAGAAACATTCGCGGTATAATTTTAATTTTCGTTTTACAATCATCAGCCGCGTTATATTGTATTTTAAATGTTACTTTAAATATAAGTTATGAACGGAAAAATACGTCCAGGGTAGCCGAGTGGACTAGGCACCTGCCCGGTAAGCAGAAGGGTGTGGGTTCGATTCCCGCCCCTGAACACTTTTTATTTTTCCGTTCTCCATTACTCTTCATGTTTCACCTTTCCATACCTCATCCTCAAAGTTAGAAATGTCGCTATATCTCTTTGAAAATAAATTTCGATTTTTAAAAGAAACATTCGCGGTATAATTTTAATTTTCGTTTTACACTTATGATGTAAATTTGAGAGGCTGGTGATTGCTCAAAAAAGAATATCGTATCTTTCTATAAAATATCTGAATTATACGGAAATTTTGAAGGATCAATAAAATATATACTCCAATTAAGTCAATCTACATTCTAATTATTTCAAATAAATTATGAAAAGTTTATCAACAATTCAAAGGTATTTTACCCAGAAACATCCTCAAGCTATTTTTTCTTTTTAAAATACTATCAAATGCATATAACTCGAATATACCTTTTAAAAAATATTATAAATAAGTATTTTCTTTTAGATATGTAGACTAAATTTTAATTCGAAACTCTAAAATGATATTTTAAGAATACACAAATATTTATAACCAAATTAATTATTCAAATCGTCAGAAACGAAATATGGCATCATCATAGATTATTTCAAGATAAACAAATATATCATGACAGAATAATTTAAAGATATCTACAATTAAAATAATCATTTATTATCTTTTAGCAGATAATTTAGTCGAATAAATGGAATTTTAAAATATTTTTAAAGGATATATACATTCTAGAGACTTTGTTAGTGATGAATAAACTGCCTAAATAGGAGATATCGTTTTCCATTCCTTTGTTATAAAATATCAAAATAACATATACCTCAATTTTAAATACAAAAATTTCTAAATTTCTATATTTCAAAATTGTTCATCCATTGTGATAATTTTATATTCTGGAAAAAGGACCTCTCTCGTCAAATAAAGGTACAAACTAAACGCTACGTTTTAAAGATCTCTGCACTCTAAGGGATTGGGCCGGATACAAATAATTAACACCAGCCAGAGAAATTTCCGGCCTCCAAACCTTGAAAACTACGATTGTGGCCTATGATTTCATTAGATTTACCAGATCCATATATATACCATAGAAATTGCCTAAACAAATTATCACCTAGATTCTCTTTGGAAAATTGTGGATATTTTATGAATCTTCGAGGCTATAATGAAAGGTTCTCTAAATTTCTTCAAAAACTCAGACAAGCTAGATGTTCACAACTTTGGATGATAGCCGATCTCCAGGCGGGGCCTAACACTTTTATGATATAGAAGGCGTTATTCTCTAGTGATACTGCTCGCATCCAAAAATGGGAATTTCAAGAATGCTACATCTACTGATCGACCATCTACCATTTCAACAAATGACTATTAGAATCTATCGATATTATATCATATGTATATGTAATGGTCAAAGAAAGAGCAAAGATGGTATTCATCCCAATGAAGTCTAAATTACAGATTAAAAGCTTTTGTTCATTAACACCATAAGAACGATTGTTCTTTACCTATACTTCTGATTATTTTTGGAGTTGTAGTCTTTAAGAATTAATATGCTTTATGAGGCATATGATGAATATTTATGCCAGAATTTATGTAGGAGAGGAGCGCCAAGAATCCGAAAAGAGAAGCAGCGAACACCAGGGACCTGGTGCTATTCTTTTGCCACATCGATACATTACTCTCACGGTCCTTCAGGGTTTGAGCCATGTTCTTATGCGGCGGAGTACCTTTGAGTCGTAGAAACCTATCCAGAACTTTTCGAGAGTGGTAAAAAAAAAAGGAGAGTCATCATCAGCTTTCAAAAGAGTTTACCTTTTGTTGAACTATGATTGAGGGTGTTAAAACGATGGATGACCTTTCACGCTGCGGATTAAACATTTTTGTGTTCTGATCTAAGTCACAATTTCATAGCTACCTTGATATTGTTGAGCGAGCTCCTTACATTTCACGCAAACGTATCTAAAGGGATATGTTGACTATAGAAGCGATGGGAAACTATGTGGCCCTTCCAAGTAGGTTCAGCTCGGAAATCCACTACGGTTTTCGATGGTCTTGAAGTGATGGATCGTTACCGCAAGAAGTCTGCTCTCAAGATGAAAATATACGGGTGAACCCATTCACGATGAATTACATTTAGTCTTATAAAGGAAATCAGTAAGATGAAAAGGTGAAGTAGTAGGTAAGTAGAATTAGGTGTTGTAGAAGACTTAAAGAAAACTTTTTAACACAATTTTAGCCACACATGTATTATTGGTATAAAATAAGTTGAAGTAAGCTCCTATAGGCAAAATTGTATAGCCAGAAATCTGGATTAAATTGTTATATTAATAAAGCGGAATATTCCAAGGACTATTTCATTAAATTTCACGCAATGTCCCAATTAAATTGTAGATAATCGTTATGAGTGAAATCTAAAGGTTTTTTCCAAGGCTAGCCAGCCTTGTATTCATTCACCATGTGGGAGAGTGAGTAATAGCATCCACATACCCATTACATCGGTATTTGAAGCCCCGTCGATGAGTTTCTCTAACATATAAAAGAACTGACCATTCTTGTAGGCTGAAGTCATAGAGACGCTCTGCTCCAGACATATGGTAATTAACATGATAGCAGTGTTCGGAAAGTTTATAAAAATGTGATATATTTCAATTTGCATTAATTCTAGATCTGGAAACTTCTTCTTCACAACAGGACATGCATAAAAGATGACCAAATGGTTGATAGTAACAACAGATATTTACTGCAGCGACAGCAGGTATTCTGTCTGGTTTCGGCCGAAGATTTATCACCACCATGTTCCTCACAGCAGCGGCGTTAGCTTGTCGATGGGCATATGTTGAAGACGAAGTGGGATATTCGAAGCAGCAGAAACATTTCGGATGCGTGGCTTCGCACATAATTATTCATTATCTATGCATATCAGCTTCTTGTTAATTCTTTCTCTTAAACACAGTTACTGGCATGCTTAGCGCTCAAGGAACACTGAAGAGCATTTACAGAACGTTCACCAGGAATCGACTGCACAGAAGAATTAGCGACGACCTGGGACTCATATGATGAGAAAAAAAATTAAAGAACGATGCAATTGTTTTGTTTCTTTAGAAAAACATAGATTTGCGCCCATTGATACTTCAATCAAAATTTCTGGTTTTAGGCAACTCAAAGTAAGAAGCGCCTGTTAGCGAAATGATTTTGCGGATAAATCAAGGATGGTGCCCGCAAAGATGGCATCGACTTCTCTACAATAAAAGCCAAACAGGTAAAATTTGGCTTAAGCATACTAGTATACATATTGATTCATATATTTTGAAAAATTATATGTTTAATATTTTCAATAAGCAGATATATATTGAAAGAGGAAAAACCAAGTATTCAATTTTTAAAGTGTTAAAATTACACATTCAGCGATTTCTAAGAATAGTTCTAAATTCGTTTCCTAGATGGCGGCACATGTTCTTTCGAAAACAAATAGAACAATCGATATCTTTAAGGTCAAATGATTCTGGCTTAGATTAACCTTTGGTTCCTTCAATTTATATAAGAATGATTATTCTTGAAATTTTGCAATTTTTCTTAAAAACAAATCTAATTTTATACGAAATTTTGAGTTGGAAAATATTATTATTTTAATACAAAAACATTAAATATCTCTTACATTACAACTATAAACAAAAAAATATATATATGCAATCACATTCATATTAATTTAAATGAATGGAATACAATTACACTACGTGTTTTATATATTATAAAATATAATATGTATTATAATATGATTAGGTTTACATGTTAAATAACATGAAAATGTGGTGCCCTCTAAATATATGAAAAAATGATAGAAAAAATAAAAAAAATAATGGATATTAAAAATAAAAATGGCATATCCTGACCAGGAGCACATGTGCTTCTTTTCCACAAGATGGCGCTCTGCCTTCTGTAAAGGACATGTGCTACTGGTCAGGATATGCCATTTTTATTTTTAATATATATATAGATGGAAAATATGCCGGGAGGAAATTAATCCATGGAAGCAATGGTCGCCTCTCCCGTCAAAATAAACGTCAGAATCTGACGCCATCAATTGACCGTCGCCGCAACTAGCGGCTTGGGTCGGTGACAAAGCCACAACACCAACTTTGGCAAACTGATAAACGTCCACCTAGACACCATGGTTTCGGGCTAATGGCCCTCGTCAGTAATATATATATATATATATATAGATGGAAATATTTTACCGGGAGGATATTGATCTAAAGCGACAAAGGTCGCCTCTCCCGTCAAAATAGACGTCAAAACTAGACGCCATCTATTGACCGTCGCCGCAACTAGCGGTCTCGGGTCGGTGACAAAGCCACAACACCAGCTTTGGCAAACTGAAAAGCGTCCACCTAGAGACCATGGTTTCGGGCTGATGGCCCTCGTCAGTCTAGGGCGGACTTTATTCCATGAGATCCACACGGGATCTAATGGAATATTGAAAATCTGCCAAAGAGGGTTTTAGCTGGCAAAGTGGCTGGGCCAAATCTATGGCTAAAATATAGATGGAAATTTTGCCGGGAGGATATTGATATAAAGAGACAAAGGTCGCCTCTCCCTTTGTCACTGACCCGAGACCGCTAGTTTGCGGTGACGGTCAATAGATGGCGTCTAGTTTTGACGTCTATTTTGACGGGAAAGGCGACCTTTGTCTCTTTAGATCAATATCCTCCCGGGCAAAATTTCTACCTATATTTTAGCCATAGATTTGGCCCAGCTACTTTTGCAGCTAAACACCTCTTTGGCAGATTTTCAATATTCCATTAGATCCCGTGTGGATCTCATGGAATAAAGTCCGCCCTAGACTGACGAGGGCCATTAGCCCGAAACCATGGTCTCTAGGTGGACGCTTTTCAGTTTGCCAAAGCTGGTGTTGTGGCTTTGTCACCGACCCGAGACCGCTAGTTTGCGGTGACGGTCAATAGATGGCGTCTAGTTTTGACGTCTATTTTGACGGGAGAGGCGACCTTTGTCTCTTTATATATACAAACACCAGCGTGAAGGCC